TATTTGTTTAAACAAATCACCCTAGCTTGACATCAGTGGGCCCCATGCCCTGCTATTTCTCAGAGATTCATTTTCTTCCCATTCATATGTGTTCCAAGCTCATTGCCACCCCTGTGGGTATAGCATCAACTGAACACCCATCCTCTTCTTTCAACAATTAAAATTCTATGCTTGTCTCATGACCCTAGCCAAAACTCACCCACTTTTCACTGACCTCTTATGATTTACATTTTACAGTATATTCTGTCCTCTATCCACTAGTATGTATTTACTGGTTGGTTTGATTATAGTTATTCTTTAGTTATTTCATGACTATCTTATCTCTACAGCTGACTTTATGTAGGTATTGCATGTGTGATATGAAACATAGAGTCCATGGAATAGATCCTTGCCCAGAAATATAGAGGCCATGGAAAATATAGTTGTTCAGAATGCATCCTCTATCAACATATTCAAGCCAGATATTCTATGACCACAAGTATATCAGTTTTGGTAACAACCCATCTTCTTTCCAAATCTCGATACCTTAGTAATAGATACTGCCCATCAGAGTTGAGGGATTAAGAGTTGGATAGGAGGACTGCTGTGTGGAACTATGGCCAGATTTAACAGGCCATTATGTGGAAAACTGAGAAGTTGGAAAGCAATATAGAAGAGTTGAAGGAACACTGGCTTTGGACTTAGGCCTGGGTTCAAATTCAAGTTCTACCATATATTAACAGTTACCTTATCTTATTATGAGGATTAAATGAGATAGCATGTGGATGGCTATTGTGGGTCCCAGTACATAGTAGGTGCTCAATAAATAGTAATTATCATTATTATCTCTAAGTTATAGTAGGTCTGTACTGCAGCAAATGAGGTTAGCTGTTCAGTGAAATATCACAAGCCATAAAATATCCCTTTGTAGATAGACAGTTTCTTATGTTGAATTAGCTCGAATTCTTTGAGTACCAATTTATACAGCATTTGCTGGTTGATTTGCTTTTAAGGAAGAATGTCTAAAAGATGCTAAACTGCCTCCTTAGCCAAGGACACATCAGGGGTCTGTCTCTCTGTCCCTGTAGACGGCACAAACAGTAAGACATCAAGATAATGGCTCTAGTGCTGGATTGGATGCAGTCCAAAGGCCAAGTTCACATGAATTCGTACTGCAGAACAACTCCTAAGATTATAGAATCTTGGCTTTGGAGGGATTTTCTTAGAGGATGTGGAATTTTGCTATTTTTGTTAGAAATATCCATTATAACATTCCAGATAGATCATGTAACTTCTGATTTAAGGGGAAGCTCACTCTTTCGCTAAACAGTCCGTTCTGTTGTAAGCTCTAACCAATAGACAGTCCTTTCTTAATCAAATCCAAATATGCCTGCCATGACTTCTTCCTAGTGTTTCTAATAATGTCCAGCAGAGCAATGTAGATTAAGTATAGCCCCTCATCCATTTGAATATCCCTTAGATATCTATTCTAATTCCCCTAGCTTCTCCAGAATAAACATCCTACTGTCTTTATGTAGCTATGCCTATTTTCAAGGTATATTTATCAAATATTTGGCTTTAATTTGAAAATTATAATTTGAAAATTATTAATAAACATAATAAATTATGTTTATTTCACATAAACAAATATGTGAAAATCCTGAATTCCAGGGGAAACTGAACTATTTTAATCAAATTTGGACAGATTGGTTTTTTGTTGTTGTTGTTTGTTTGTTTTAAAGTTTTATTTATTTTTGGCTGCATCGGGTCTTAGTTGCAGCATGCAGGATCTTCGTTGAGGCATGCAGGATCTTTCGTTGCAGCACCTGGGCTCTTTGTTGTGGTGCACGGGCTTCTCTCTAGTTGTTGCCTGTGGGTTTGCTCTTCTCTAGTTGTGGCGGCATGCTCCAGGGCACATGGACTCTGTAGTTGTGGTACATGGGTTCCAGAGCACATGGGCTCTGCAGTTTGTGGCACACGGGCTCTAGTTGAGGCATGTGAGCTCAGTAGTTGTGGCCCGCGGGCTTAGTTGTCCCGCGGCATGTGGGCTCTTAGTTCCCTGACCAGGGATCGAACCCACATCCCGTGCATTGTAAGGCGGATTCTTTACCACTGCACCACGAGGGAAGTCCCTAACAGATTGTTTTTAACAAACCAGGGTACTGAGACAATAGAAAGTGATTCATATTGAAAGGCACATATGCCCTAAGTAAAAAAACAAAACATGCACTACAGTATGACATTTGAAATAATAAATGTTGGTGCAATGATTACTGCAGTATTTATCAGATTTTTAACAATGTCTTATATCTACACTTTCAAGAGAAGTTGGCCCTATCTTAATGTTAGAATAAAGGTAGGCAAAGAAGACTTACAGAAGCTTGGATTCATGGGTCTAAGCAGTAATGTTTTCTCTGTTTGAAATAGGATGAAACTATAGAAAGCACCAAAGCAGAGAAATAACATTTAATTCAGCAAGATTTAATGCCTTCCATATGCCAGGTGCTAGAAATAAGTAGCACATAAAATACATAAAGTACATGGTTCCTGTCCTCATGATACTCAGAATCTAGAGGGGGAAACAAATATAGATAACCATAAAAACAACAACAATAAAAAAAATAAGGTGTTCATTTATTTCCAACACATTTCTGCCTCTTTGGGGACTGTTAAATCCACTTTTACAAGAGATATGTAGACTCCATAATGCATTTAATTAAGTTTAGTGTAAAGATCTTCAGACAGATCTTGTATAGGTTACTCTGAAGCTTATTTACTGACAAATGCACATCAGTAAACTTAAAGGCCTAAACTCAGAACGCAGAAAAACCTTAAGGAAAAACAAGACAAGTGGGAAAAAGAAATAGACTTATGGCATGGTTGTCAACCTAAATAGTTGTTAATATAATGAACAGAACTGGATTATACAATACAAGGTAGGGAAATATCGTTCTGTAATGCTCTAATGCTCGGCATTGTTAAACTCTTATTTGGAATGTTCCCTTAATTTGGGTTGCCAGACATATAATTGCATTTGGAGAACCAGATTAGGTCTAGAAAAGCCTGGCAAATGTGAGTAAAGGAAATCTTCTGAGAAAAAGTTAAATACACTTCCTTCCCTCAAGGAAAGAGAAGGTACAAGGGGCTGATTTGACTGTCTTCCATATGAGGAAGATAATGTTAATCATTTCTCATTTCAGTGATGTAATGAGTAAGGTTAGAATGGCCTAAAGTACAGCTGTGAACGTTGATTTTAGGCATATGAACTTTCAAACATATCATGATATATATTAAAATACCAAAATAGGAAACTCTCATAGGTTTACATTTTTACCTGTTTAGCTGGTCGGGTAATCTGATGATTTATTCCTTGATTCTGGGCAAATGTTAAACAAACAGAGGTCTTTCACAACAGTGTGATTAAGGTTTACAGCAAGATTGTGAAGGCTGCTCTGGCATAGAAACAACTGTGAGTAGTACAGGGGGTGCAGGAAAAGGTCCAGGATGACACCATTTTCGTATCTACAGCTAGTTCTTCATCAAGAAACATGTTCATATATCTTGGGCTACAGAAAGTGTTAAAGAATCAATATGCCATTTCTGCTGCTGAATTTTTAAAGCTTTGCATCCTAAAACCCTAGTCTAGGGTGTGACATGAAAATGTGTTTGTCACCTACTCAGAGGAGATATCTGGGTCTCTCAGCATAATCTAGATAAAATCTTAGCACATACAAGATAAGTTCACTGTTTTGGAGAAACCATTTTAGCCTGAACGTATAAAAAATTGCACATAAAACCTGGATCAGTGAAAAATATATGTAGGAAATAGCTCTGCTTCCCAGTAAACACTAAAAGTGTTTTGTTTTGTTTTTTTTTCCTATAGTAGACAGGAGAGAAATATTGAGCTGGATTACCAAATAGTAAAGTTGAAATTAGTAGAATTAAATCAAACCACCCTATATGCTTCCACTTGAAGAGAAACCCCATTTCCACTCACAACCACCTAAAACTGTCGCTAATAGTAGTAGACCACTGTATGAGAAAAAAGGAGGTAGAATTTCAAATTTTATATGTGGAAAACAAAATTATTAATTTCTTTATCATAACAGAGCCTTATCATTATGAAAGTCAAAATGTTAAAATGAGTTTTCTCATAGATCATACCCATGTGCTATTCTATCAGGGTTCATACCCCATAATGGTATATCATAATGATATATTTTTTCTATCTCCTCAGTCATTTTTCTATTCTTTATAAATTTTTTCTGTGACTTTCATAACTCTCTTACATACATGCATGCTCTTGCCTCCGCGTGAACACTCCCAGATTCTTCCATCCACCTATCCTGTCCTCATCACTTCACTATCAGAAAACAGATCGCATTTGACTGATACACTAGAAAGAGCCCTAGTGGCAGAGACGTGAGTCCCAGGGCCCAGATCCCTTCTGACGGAGTCTCATCATTTCACTACTTAGAGTTCTTTTTTTTTTTTTAAACTATTTATTTGGTTGCGCCGGGTCTTAGTTGCGGCAGGCAGGCTCCATAGTTGCAGCTCACCAGCTCCTTAGTTGCAGCAAGCATTTGGGATCTAGTTCCCTGAACAGGGATCAAACCCGGGCCCCCTCCATTGGGAGTGAGGAGTCTTATCCACTGCACCAACAGGGAAGTCCCACTTAGAGTTCTTTTCAAGAGGAGGTTCCCTCCACCTGGCTGGCATGCCCTCCATGCTTCTCCCAGAGGTGTATGCTTTGGTCCTCCTGAAGCAGAAATGGAAGTTTGAGGTTCTCAGTGTTTAAGTAGAAAAACCGGTGGAGGGGGTCAGCTACCTCCCTCTCTCTGACCTGTCTGAAGTGGAAGTTTTAGGGCACTGTGAGTGGAAATGGGATTTCTTTAGGAGGGAAAGTGTATGGGGCGGGGGGGGGGGGGGGCCGGGGAAGGAGAAAATGACAGATTTTCTGCTGCCATCACATCTGGAACCTTCACAAGGGGGGCCGGGGTGCACGAGGCCCCAGGGCACCGCTAGGCTGTCTGCGCCAGCAATTCCAGGTTCTGCCTCCGGGCCTCGAAGTTGTCAGCCGGCCGGTTGTATGCCATCCACACCGGGTCTCCCACAAACAGCCTCGTGGCCTTCTCGTATTTCTTCTCGTCCAGTGTGAAACGGTGGTAAATTCCGGCAGGGAGAGTGATCATGTCTCCTTTCTCCATGATGGTCCGGATCCACCTGTCCTCTTTATCTCTCACGTCAAAGTACCCACTGCCATCCAAGATGACGCGAATCTTGTCATCCAGATGTAAATGCTCCTTGTAAATCATCTTAATCTTTTCTTCGTAATTTGGTCGTTTGTCTCCGCCTATGGTTATTATGTCCATCCAGGAGCAGTTTCTCTCTTTTCGGATCTTTTCTAATTGTGGATCATTCTCATATTTGTTAGCATCCAATTTCCAGTAAAGGACCCCGAGCCCGCGCAGCTGCTCCAGGCCGACCGGGCGCACAGGCTCCGCGTGGTGGAGCCACGGCGGGTTGTCAGCCGAGTCGTCCATGTACCAGGCCTGCACCGTGGCGGGGCTGGGGTCACTGCCGCCTGGCCCCAGACCTGTGCTGCGACCTGCTCAGGCTGGTTGCAAGAGCTCTGTTATTAAGCCGCAGCTCCCTTGAGTGCCTGCCGTGGGGGGGGGGGGGGGGGGGGGGGGGGTGCCTGGATTTAATCCTATTAATTGCAGGATTACTATTGGCATGCAGTCCTCAATCCAGCTCAGTATAACTCGTCCCTGTCAACAGCATGGGCTGTGGTGTCAGATCACTTGTGTTCAAATTCTAGTATTTTCTCATCACTGGTTTTATGATTTTTATTTTCCATGCTCTTCTGGTAAAAAGAAAATACATTAAACACTGCTATCGCGCAGGCACCCTCACCTTAACCACGTTCGAGTTAGGCCCTCTTCAAGGTCCTTCCCTCTCTCTCTCACTTTACTCTCCAGCTTTTTAAAAGGTGTATTCCGCACACTTTCAAAACCCTACAGTTGGTCTCTGCCACCATCGGTTTGAGGAGCTCTGTGTACCCACCTCCTCCGCTTTTGCTGCAGCCAGAGTGAGAGGATAATAGGAGGGCAGAAACGATGGGGCCCTGACTCCCAGCTCCTGGCTGGGTGCCTGAGAGGAAAGCCAGCATTTTGGGGCTCCGGCAGCAGAGGGCGCCACGTTTCCCCGAGGCATCTTCCCTCGGGGCTTAACAGGCGGTACCATCTTGACCGGAAGCATGGCCTAGAGTCCTGAGGAGAGGCCAAGGCCCCGGTCACCTTTTGATGTCCTAAGGCTGGAAGCAGGCCGTCTCTCGGAGGAGCTTGGAGAAGCATCTTCTGTGGCCAAGTTCCTCCGAAGTGCCTGGTAAGCCCACCTGGCCGCCCAGGAGCCCCAGCGAAGCCTTGCCTTTCGCGGCACAGCCTTTGAGCACTGCCCCAGACCCGGGGTCCTAGTGAGGGACCGGCCCGGGAAGACCCGCAGAGAGAGGAGACGGCTGCCCCTGGCTTTTTCTCCGTCTTGGCCAGACCTGGGAGGGTGGAGGGAGGGCCTGGCCTGAGTCTGGCCGACGCAGGGAACTAATACTTGGTAAAGATGATACAGCCTATCTCTGAACTGTGTGAGACACAGGAATGTACGTGTTCAAAAGGTCTTTCTTTTCTGGTGGACGCCAGAGACTCATTCTTCACCCTTTACTGCTCTGATAACTGGGAAGTAAAAGTACAAATTTTTAAGTTTCTCTTTTCTCACCTTGAGCACGTCATAGACTGATACTGATCTCTCAGTGTGGAACCCAGAGGTCTCTTATGGATCATTGCAGTACTAGGTTGGTAAAAGCTTAAAGTGCAAAGGGAGAGGGAAAGCAGTGATGCCTTCAGTGAAGAATTAGGCCTAAAGGTGGAACCTTGCATTTGATCATAATTATTTAGCATGATATGCCTGAAATATATAGAACTAAATACTTGTTTATCTTAGTATAGTCAACTGGAGTACATTAGAAATTGATAATGATCAGACAAAACAGTTAATATAAGTATATTCACATGCTATGATTGTCAGAATGTGCCTACTCCAATCCATTAATATTATCATGAAGCAAAATTACTAATTCTGAGCTACTGTCTGTACATAAAAGTTGCCTTAGTTAATTTAAGCATAGTAATAAATAGGAATGTTTGATTCATTTAAAGTCTAAAAATATCTGAACTAGATTTTGTATAATTTATGCTTCTCAATCCCTCTGCAATCTAGGCATATTCTTCACTATGTTATACCTTTAGAGAGCTAACCCTCATGTTAGTCTACAGACTGTGAGCTGTGGAGGTTCCAGTCTTTCTTTTTCACATTTAGTTTTGCCACTGGACTCTGGGCTTCAGTGCCCTCACTTGTAATGTAAAGGAGTCAGGTGAAGTTATCACCAAGGTCTCTTCAAGCGTGAATTTTGCATGACTAATCCATTGTAGAACACAACTAAAATAATGGTTCTTTTGTAGTTCTCTTGGGGCTTTTACTATTGCTAGGAATCATGCTGGAAAGATACAGGCATCACATGGAACGCGAAAGGAAACAACTGAATAATGGCCATGTTTTGAGATAGAGACTTCAGTGCCAAAAAAAAAAAAAAAAGGGGAGAAAAGGATGTTTTGTTAGTGGTGTTTTAAGGAGAAACATGCTTGGAAAATGTTCTTCAGTATTTCTGGATAGAGAAGTACCAAATGAATGTGTCCTTTTAAAATTACATAGAGCGCTTTTGCTCTGCATACTCAGGGTGCAAGCTAGTTAGGAAGGGCAGAGTCCCTGACCTACGTCTGAACCGCGTGGAGTTTTAGGTCAAAGCGGGTTTGGCTGCTAAGCGTGGACCCGGGCGCTGGAACCCCTAGATGGGAAGGCCTCGGTGAGGCTGCCGCGAGTTCACCGGCACATGGGCTCCGCGCGGGGGCCGCGAGCACCGGTTCACTCCACGGCAGGCCCCCGCCCAGACACCAGCACCTCCTCTCACCTGGGCAGAGCCCAGGACGGTTAGCAGCCCAGGGGGCTCCGTCAGGGGCCAGGGAAGTGAAGTGACTTGCTTATGTTTTCTTCGAAATTTGGGGGTCTAATTCCTGCCGGGCTGGGGAATGACCGCAGTCTCGGTAGTGTGTTTAAGGTGGCCGTGAGGGCGGTGGCCCGACCCAGCAGCTTCACGGGCCAGCTCCGCCCCTGCCCCGGACCGGCGCTTGCGGACGTGACCGTGGCTGCCCCCGCCGCCTGTTACTTGAGTGCGGCCCACGGAGGGCGCGCCCTGGAGCCGAGCGCCCTCGGCCGCCACCTGCGGGGCCGGTCGGCAGGGTGCGGGGCGCGAACCCGCCAGGAGCGCGCGACGGGCGCGGCGGGCGCGGCGGCGGGAGGAGGAGCCCGGAGCGCGACCGAAGGACACCCCGTCCTCCAAATGCTGCCACTTGACTGAGCCGGCCGCTGGTGAGAAGGTGGCGCCGCTGCCCTTGCAGCTGGACCGCACTCAGCTTTGGCCCGGGCCTCAGTTCGCCGCCCGCCCAGACGTCGACCCACCGCGGGGCAGCGCCGGCCCGGGAGCTGCAGGAGCGCCGGATGCCTGCTCGGTCCCCGCCGCCGTCCAGACGCCCGAGGGGCGCGCAGCTGCCCGCCGACGTGTAGAGTAAGTGAACACCTTGGGAGGTGGGCGACCCGTGTGTGTCCGTAGGTCTCTGCTCGTCGGTTTTGCCTTTTGTGATTTTCAGTGGCAGAAACCTGTGAGTTACAGGAGGCTTTGATTAAACCGGACCTTTCTCGGCCAGCTGCCTCGGCTAGAGCCTCGTGCCTCCGGCTCTTAATTAAAGAACTTAGCCCCCGCTCCTTCCACCTTGTTCTGAGCCCTCAAATTCAAGGTTTTGCTTTATGAGTTGGCAGTTTCACCTTCCACCCGATCCTTTCTGCCTGCAGAGTAAAGATTTTCAGGTAGTAGATTTGCCTATGAACACTTAATTTGTATGCCAAGCTGTCAAGCTTGTGCTCTGAATGGCATGTCAGGAGCAAAGTGTGAGCTCCTTTTTGAGCGGTGGGAGCCTGAATCTCGAGGTGAATTATGATGCACATGGGAAATAAAGCAGAGTTGACGGCAAGATCCTTCAGCTGTTAGCGAAGGGATCTGAGAAGCAGCGCAGAACAATCGGAGTTTGTTTCTCTTATGTTTCCCGTCTGCCCCCTCCCCATCCTTTATGGAATTAGGTTAACAAAAATTATAAACTAGTAAACGTTCTCATCAAAGACCCCATCGTTTTAGGATCTGGTATTTATGGTATTTATCTTAGAGAACATTTTAGTTCAGAATTCAGAGGAGTAAGAAGTCTACTTCGATTATGACAAAGTATAAATCACATCAAGATCAACAGTTGAATATACCTTTAATTTTTGGATGAGACTGTTTTCAAGTACCTGATATAGGCACCATATATATAGATGGGAAATAACATTAACATTTAGGTATTCTGCCTGATGTATTCAGCAGAATGGTCTGTTAAAACAGTAACTTCAGTTTTTAACTTCTTTGTTTTGCCATCAAACAAAAATTACTTACTAGGCCCACAATCTTATAACAACAGGGTACTTTAAAATCACAGACCAACCTCCAATCCATTTTAACATTCCCTCTGTTGCACTCCCAACAGACCAGCCACACTTTGAGGGAGCACTTTCAGTGACAGGGAGCTCACTGCATTTTGAGGCATCCCTCCTTTCTGTTATTGTTAGCAAGGCCTTGTTTACACTGAACTGACAACTGCTTCCTTGGACCTGTTTCTCATTAATCCCACTTTTGCCAATAGCCCTCCAACTCGTGAAATTTTATGTAGAATTTTTCACAGAGAAGATCTGAAACTTTCATCCATCTGAAAGAGTCTATGACCAAATAACTGTAAAGAAATGAAAAGTCTAGGTGGTACAGAGTAAGGCTTTCATCTTCTTTACTTGACAGCCTTTCAGATCCCTGAGCTTTGGCTTCCTCATCTGTAAAATGGGAATAATGATATACTCCATCTATATCTAGGGTTGTTGTGAGAATCAAATGAGATAATGTTCATAATACTTAGCATAATTGCCCAGAAGTCAGTAAATGTTAGTTATCTTCACCAAATAATATTCACTTTAATGTTTCCTTCCTTACCTAAGACCTTTCTCTGTGCTAAAGATCCTTAGCCCAAAATTGAATGCATTAATTCAGTCTAGTCTGAACAGTGCAGAGTGCAATGAATTCCTACCTTCAAACAAAATCATGTAGTTTCTTTTTGATGTTCTTACTTTTTTTTGGTTTAATTAATTTTAACATCTTTATTGGAGTATAATTGCTCTACAGTGTTATGTTAGTTTCTGCTGTATAACAAAGTGAATCAGCTATACGTATACATATATCCACATATCCCCTCCCTCTTGCGTCTCCCTCCTACCCCCCCTATCCCACCCCTCTAGGTGGTCACAAAGCACCGAGCTGATCTCCCTGTGCTACGTGGCTGCTTCCCACTAGCTATCGAAAATCATCTAATTTTTGATCGGCTTTTGTAGTAAATACACCAAAGTTGACTAAAAAACTCACCACCACAACCCCACACACACTTTGCTGTCAAGGTAGGCTTTATTCTTTCTTTAATTATGCAGTTAAAAATTTCTTGAATGTGAACATTTTTTTTCTTGTCTTCTATTACTTTAAGCCTCTCTCCAGTTTCCAGTTTGTTAGATGTGTTTAAATCTTGATTGTGGCATTCATCATGTTAACTCTACCTTCTGATTTTGTGTCACCTGCACATGTGGTGAGTTTGTTCACCAGACATTCAAGTCACTGGTAATACATGGGACAGGTCTTTTTGCCATGGTGGCACATCTAGAAGCCCGTGGCACACAGAAAGTCCTGGACTTTTGGGGCCTGGCTACTAGCTTTGTGACCTTGAGAAACTTCTTTTCCATATCAGTAAAATGAGGTTAGGAACATCTGCCTTTCAGTTAATTGTTAGAGTTCAAAGTAATGTACTGAAAATGCCAAGTACAGTACTGGTTGGGAATCTATTTGGCCCTCAGTAGATATTGCTGAGACAAATTAATTAATCAGCTGAACTCAGCTAGCACTGTCGTTCAGATTCAACTGTTCTAGCCCATAGGTCAGTCTTCTTCATAGGGACATTATGGGAATAATTTTAATCAAATGCTTTGCTTAAATTAAAGATCTTGAATATTCTCTGGTCTACCACAAAAGTAAACGATGTTAGTTTAAAAATTACTGATTCTTAGTAAACTCCTAGTTCCTTGAAATCCCCAGTATTTTCCCCCCTAAATATTCCCCGTTTTCTGATTAAATCTTGAATTTTGCCAGATTGGTATCAAATTAACTGGTTTGTAATGCCTAGGAATTCTATTTTTTTCCTTCAGTTTTGAATTTTTAAAAAATTAGGGGGAAAAAGTGTATTTGAGTCTCTAGCCTCTGGAGACTTCCCTCCTTCTCCATGTTTTTCTGAGGTTGTCAGAATATTTCTGTGCTTACATCTGCCAATTCTCCCTGGAATATAATTCACCAGATTTTGAAGACGGAATTCTTTTAAAGTGACTTCTTCTGCTTGTACCTTGGTTCTCTCTTAATGAGGTTTCTTCTGTCCTTTCCAGCTTAAAGATCATTTGCTTTTAAGAAAGCAAAACAGTTGCTGAGCAGTTCTGTTTTCTTTCTCTAATTAATTAATATACCATCTGCCTTGGATTTGGATTTTTTTTTTTTAACTGGAGCCTGTTTTCCATAGTAAGAGTGATATGAATAGAATGGCATTCTAATGTTGAAAGTTTGGGGAGTAATAACTAACTAGTCAGTATCTGATATAGGAAGAGTCTGTACTTTAAGAATTAATTTATTCCTTACAAATTAAGAGTTGTGAAATAAAGGATGTTTCACAAGGGGCTGAAGATAACATAAATTAGTGAAGCTGTATGGGTGCCAGACACAAAGGAGTGTACAGAGTCCTGTGAACTGGAGAGTGAATGCCCAGCTTAGAACTATTCTAATTCAGAGCAGTTGGAACATGACACTGGCCAAACGAAAACACTGGCCCTAACACTACTGGGAGTTTGTGGCTTTTGCTTGTAAGTGCCCTGAAAGAGGTAGAACTACGTATAGTTCACTGTTTTATCCCCAGCATCTAACACACTTTGAAGCACATGGATATTTGATAAATAGCCAGACTTTAATTAGCATTCATTAAGTGCCTCTATGTGGAGAACTGTTCTCTGCAAAATAGCAAAAGGAGAAATGGCTACTGCCCCTGAGGAGTCTTTAATCTCATTTGGGGAGGTAGCATTTATAAATTAAATAGGCTGGACAGGAGTTCAAGAAGACTTCTGGATAAAGGTTTGAGGAATTCCAGGAAGTCTGCCTGAAGGAGACGGGGATTCCCCTAGCCTTGAAGATGGCACAGATTTAGTTTAAGCAGGGAAGAGGGGAAAGGGTGCTGGGTGGAGATATGGGGCAGGTGGTATTTTTCAACCTAAGGGAAGGCCAGAAGGAGAAAATGAGCATGGGTGTGTGTGGTAAGGATAATAGCTTGAGCGGGGAGGAAGTTTCCTTGGATTAGTGAGAAATTATATCCAATAGGTAGAAAGGCTTTTTAAAAAAAATATTGGGGGGCGGATTCTTATTTACTTTATTTTTTATTTTTTTAAAATTTTTATTGGAGTATAGTTGCTTTACAATGTTGTGTTAGTTTCTACTGTACAGCAAAGTGAATCAGCAATGTGTATACATATATCTCTCTTTTTTGTTTAAATTAAATGTACCTCTGCCCCACCTTACCTCCACTCCCACCCTGAAATATTATACCATCAGCTACAGAGAGTAGGAACTCTATAATGACTCCTTAGGAGTGTGGTATATGTATCATGAAAAACATTACCAAAATTTAAATAGCAAAACATTCAAAATTCTTGGTCCTTTGACCCAGAGTCCAAGTGGGTTTGGATACCATGTTTTTCCATGTCTCCATTATAATAGTTCTTTTAAGCATTCAAAATTACGTGTACTACTGCCTGGAATTTAATTTGGTGCATAGCACTTAACACTTTTAATATTTATGCCTCCTACTTGTTCTAAAATATTTGAGGTGGTTCCACTACATAACGTAAAGACTAACTAATCTTGAATATGTAGGGAAGGAAAAAAATCATCTTCCTCTCCTCTCTTAGGGTCATTGGCTGGGCCTGAAGATCAAACTGATAATAGATTAACAGGAGAAAAAAATTAATTACCTATGTATGCATGGGAGTTCACAAAGAAATGTGATTCAAGGAAATGGTTAGAATTGCGGACTTCTGTATCATCTTAACAAAGGGTGATACAGTGTGGAAAGGGGCTAGACTGAGGAAAGGCGGTTGGGCTTCTGGCCTGACAGTGAGTTCTGAGAGGGTGGCTAGGAAATGTATGATAAATAAGGGTCGTTTGTTTTGCAGATAAGAATTGTCTCCAGAGTGGTTCTCTTCTTGGTATAGGAGACGGAGACACATTTACTAAGGGAAATTTATGCCCTGCTTTTGGACAAAAAAGGTGGAGGGCAGAGAGCTAATTGCCTTTGGCTCAAAACAAGCCTTATGCATTGTCGTGACAAACTGTGATCCCTCTCAAATCCCTTAATGACGATTGAGATAAATAAAATTTAGTGTCAGTTAAGATTGTTTGATCAATTAAAATGAGCAAGATTTAGGTATTTTGGACCAACCTCGAATTAGAAACTAGTTATTAAAGTTCAGGCTTCGAGTGAGGCAAAGTGTCTACCCTCTGTGAATTCATGGGCTTGTGAGAGAGACTGACAGATACATCATCCATTCCAGTGGAATGGGATATGCATTCATACTGAAATATAATTCCACAAGGATCTACATCTTTTAGGATTGTTTTGGAGTATATGGTTTCCACCTTTAAGGGAAGTTTTGAGATTGGGGTATCTGATGTGTTTCTTGTGGGCGGACTTTTCTGGAGGGGATTGGAAGAACTGTTCAGAACCAGGGAGTGTGCATTACCCAAAATCTACTCAAATGTCATCTTTTCCTTCCTTTTCACAGTGTTTTCTTCCTTCCTCTTACCTCATTATCAGTTTAGTAATAATAGTAGCAGAATAGCTGCTGCATTTCTATGGTGCTTTATGTTTTTCCTTTATCACTATTCACAAGGAATTTGGGGCAGGCATTATTACCCTCAGTTTAGAGATGAGGAAGCAGAGTCTCAAAGAAGCAAAGAAAAACTCCTGTCGTCACATAGCTAATTAAATTCCTCTACCCTTTTTTAGACAAAAGTTATGTGAAGAACTCTGGGTAGAATCTGTTGGTTTTTCTGACTTTTCTGAGCTCAAAATGACACAAGTTTGCTGTACATGATAAATTTCTCTCCTTAAGCCCAGTGAAGTTCAAAGAAAACTCTATGAGAAAAAGATTTTATGCGTTGATTTTGAGTATAAAGTCATTTTGTTTAGTGGAGCCTTCTAAGTTTGGTATTTTGTAATATCAGGGTGTCATTTTTTAAAAGAACCTTGTCAGGATCTTGGATGAATGACCTGTCTGCACTCAGAGAAATGAAAAATGGCTTGACAAAAAATAATTTTGTTTACCAAATCCTAAAATCTGAAACAACTTTTCCCTTCTTCCCGTACATATAGCTTTAATAAAAAGCATACTTTATACTGTATATAGAAAAACACGGCCCCCAAAGTTGATATGGGCTAGAATGTAAGGTTCAAGCATGTTTAGGTAGATCACAGATGATAAATATTGAGTTTATGGGAGATACAGGAGTTGCTCAGCTTTTTAATATTCTAATTTATTTGTAAACACTGACCTTCAGGAACCAGTGCTATGGAGCACATCTATCATATCCCCTCACAAACTTGTTCTTGCTTCTGAATCCTGCATTAATTTAACTCTCATCTGACTCAGCATGAAGCCTTCTTCTTTAAAAAATAAAAGAATTAGATATACTATAGTTTTATTGACTTTTTACTTGCTAATTGAGTGCTATCGCCTAGATCTTGTTATGGGTCCAGTGCTATTCTGTCTCTTCGCAAAAATGGTTGAGTCTCTTATTAGCATTAAATCTTGGTTTGAAGCAGTAAAATGTATTATATCAAATTATTAGTTTGACTTTTTTGTAAAAGATATTTCTGATGATAAAAAATAATATATGCATTTGAAAAAAATTGGGAAACAGAGAAGAGCATAAAGAAAAATTTAAATTACCTACAATCCTACCATCCAAAGAGAAACACTGTTTTCTATTCTTTGTCAACCATATATATTTTAAAAATTGGAATCATACATGTATATTATAGTCTTATGCTTTTAAAAATTAACTATAAATTCTGAAGACTTGGAAGAATCTAATCTTTGTAAACTTTTCTACTGTAGTTTAGGAGGCAGATTGTAATATCGTCAATGTTTGGTGTCATTTCTTTAGCTAATGATAATTACACTTAAAATTGTATGATATTACAAGGCAGGCTTATAACAGTCTTGAAAATATTTTCAATGAATGGAAGTGTTGTAGGAAATTATTAGTTCGAATAACAAATTGTGAGTACACAGTCTGTTTTTAAACAATATTTTTGTTATTAACAGGCTGAGTTTTTAAATTGTTTTGCTATGGATAAATAAACCATTTGACCAGTAATTTTAAAAGGTAACATGTGAACATTTCCTCATGTTACTAAATATTTTTTAAAGTTATTATTTATTTTTGTATCATGAACTACCCTAAAACTTAATTACTGGGCTTCCCTGGTGGCGCGGTGGTTGAGAGTCTGCCTGCCGATGCAGGGGACACGGGTTCGTGCCCTGGTCCGGGAAGATCCCACATGCCGTGGAGTGGCTGGGCCCATGAGCCATGGCCTCTGAGCCTGCGCATCCGGAGCCTGTGCTCCGCAACGGGAGAGGCCACGACAGTGAGAGGCCCGTGTATTGCAAAAAAAAAAAAAAAAAAAAAACTTAATTACTTAAAATAACATATAATTATTTCACAGTTCCTGTGGATCAGGAATCTGGGTACAGCTTAGCTGAGTACCTCTGCTTCAAAGTCTTTCACAATCATTTTGTCAGTTGGGGCTATAGTTTTTATCTGAAGGCTTAACTGGGGGACAATCCCTTCCTTGCACACTGCCATAGAGAGATTTCCTTCAATTTCTTGCTTTATGGGCCTCTCTGTAGGGCTGCTCACAACACAGTAGTTGGCTTCCATTAGAGTGAGAGAATGAATGCAAGACAGAAGTCATGGTTTCTTTGAAACCCAGTCTTGGAAGTGACATCCCATGGCATTTGCTGTATTCTTGGTAGAAGTGAGTCATTAGTCCTGTATTTAAGGGGAGGGGATTAAACAAGGCATGGGAATTCCAGCAGGCAGGGATTGTTGAAGGCCATTTTAGAGACTATCTGCTGTAGTTATTAATAGTTCCATAATATTCCAGGATATACACATATGATAACAAACCTCTTATTGTTGGACATTTAGGTTATTTTCAACTTTTCTTATTATAAAAGGGCTTTCATGAAAATTTTTATGTATAAATATTTGTCTACAACTCTGATCGTTTCTTTAGGATAGATTTCCCAAAGTGCGATATTTGGGTTAGGGCTTTTAACATGAATTGTTATGCTACTGTTGAACCAATTTGCACTACTAACATCTGTATTTGAGTGTCCATTGCACCACGTCCACTTTAAGACGATTTTTTTGAAGAATGGGTTTGTAAAATAAATTGTTCCATAATTAGGCAGTTTACTTGAATTAGCACATGTCATGAAATGTGAAAGGAAGGCACTGTGATACAGCAGCAGGATCCCTGAAACTAGAATCAAAAGATACGGATTTTAGAACAGGCAGTGCATTTGGTCTCTCATACAGTGTCATCAAGGTCACATGCTTCCCCAGGCAGGATATTTAACCTGTTTACATACAGAGTTATACATCAATGTATTTTGTAAAATGAGGAAAAAGAATTCCTTTCTGTTGTATAAATTAATTATAAGACACCAGGGAAAGA